TGGCCTCCCGCTGCCTGACGAGCTCAGGGGATGGCCCGATAGTCCTGACACACAACACAGCATACAAAATAAGAAAGTAACTTAATCACATTTTTTTTTTTTTTTACAAAGGTAACCTATGAACTAATTTTAGCTGGGGCCTTTAAAGTCAGCTTGCATTGTGTGTCTGTGCGATTACAGCAGAGACGCAGAGCTCTGAAAAACAAGGCAGGAAACAGGAAAACCACACGTTTGCAGTTTGACGTCTCTATAGCAACAGGTCAGGATGTTATCAATAGGGAAAATGTGAAGATGACAGGTAGTAGGTTGTTTGGCCTTTCTTATTCTATATTGATACATCCACCATCATCCCTCCATCTGTGTTCATATGTCATGTAAGAAAATATGTTGGGTAAAGTTGAATCAAGAACTGTTGGCTTCCATTGTGAAAATGTATCAAGGTTTTTTTTTTAAAAATTCAACTTTACCTGCACTATAAAGTCCTTTTCATGAGATGTCAGAAGTTTTACAGGGAAAATGTGGTTACACATTATTCTTTGGAAAATACGAAATGTTTTATATCAGATTTAGCTACAGCTACCTTCCATCTGCAAGTCCCTGGGCCGGTCATAATAAAACACAATCAACATACAACAATCCAACACATCACTTCAATCTGTAACATGAAAAAAGTACTATGTTTAAATGACAAACAATTCTAATTACATGTATCCATGTATCCCGTGAGATTATGTAATAAAATATAATGTTGGTTAGAACATAGTTCTGGATTATTTTTTTTACTAATTCCATTTGTATTATTTCCTGTTCCCTGGTTATCATATTAAGTTGTTAAAAAAAAGAAAGATAATACATTGCTGTCCCTCCCCCACATGTTTCTGCACATTGTCAGTTTGTCGACTGAGAAAAGGCACACAGGTTGTGTTCATTTGTAAATATTTTTGTCACAAAAAACATGTACACTCATTGTTTAAAAGTAAAAAGAGCACAAACCACTGAAATCATATTATTCATTTTGGCTTTAATTTATTGTGTAAATACTGACAATTATTTTTTACTCCTTGTTGTCATGGTGAAGAATTTTACAGTGAGCCAAACCTTCTCTGCACCACCACAATATAAACTGTAGTGTTATAGTTGGGTATTCATATTTTTATTTTTTAACAGGAGAATATCTAAGCTTGTTAGAGTTTTGTTCATTTTATTTTACATTAATATTTGAACAAAAAGTGTGAGGAAATTAAGATCCGGTTGAAGATGTATTTTGCATTACAGAAAAGGTGCAGATTTAATTTAAAAAGTGCTTAAAATTATTTTTATTGCAGTGTTAAATTAAATACAATTGTTCATATTTGTGCTTTGTTTCTTAAGTATATGTTTTACCTCTCAGACAATTAGCTTGAAAGGTTCAATTCCTTTAATCCTTGCCCCATTTTATATATCATTTGTTTTGCAAAATGAGATTGGTTGTCTTATGCCGTTTTGGCTTCTAGGATGCACAGGTTTCTCTGCTGCATGAACACACTGGTCTGCAGAGATGTGGGCTTGTATAACTTCCTGATCTCGCCACGGGGAGACGAAAATAAAATTTGTTTGTCGCTGCGGCTCCCCTTTACGCACATTTTCCCAAGCTGATTCTGCTCAACTAACACCTTTTAAACAATCTGTTAAAAAAAAAAAAAAAGGCAGCTCCGCCTGATCTAAATTAAAAACAAGAAATTCTTACAGAGATGGCAGATTATATGAACTGCATTAATTTAATAGCAGCTTAACCCCTCAAAGGTATTTACTATAAGCTATTTTGGCACTTTAATCGTAAAATATTTAGTCTAAACCTGTATATTAAGATTGTAAATTGTTTGTTAAGTTGAGTTTTAAAACTACTTCATTTCCTTGATCAGTGAGTTTTTTCTGGCAGTACCAACCATCCTGACAGTAAAGTAGCATTGTTCCAGAGTCCTGCAGGTGTACTAACCCAGCTGTGGATCCATTGGTCAGAATGAAGCCAAACCGGTCCGTCTCTGGTTCCAGACTGACCTCTGACCCAGCATCCGATCCAGAGCTGTCCTCCTCACTCAGATGCTTCTGAGCTTGAGTCGAAGCTTTCAACATCTTTACAGCACCGAGGAATAGGGGCTCCTGTGGTTCACGTTTTCAAAGCGCCCCCAGTCATGAAGATTTCAACACAAAGTTGTTGTGCATCTTTAGGAGTAATAATCCCATCTGAAGCAATAGTAGTTAGTAGTTCACCTGTTTTCTACATGTTTTTTCTTCTGCTGCTGTTTCTTTCTCTGCCGCGCACTTGACTCAGGGCAGGGAGAGTATTAACAGGAAGTTAATAGAAAGTTAACTTCCTGTCATTCAACTAGAAACAACAGCTGTAACGTAATTCAACTGTAAATACCTTTTAATTTCCCTTCTTTATCGATTAGTCTTTTGCAGAAGAGCTGTAGAGTGAGGCCTTACGATGATGGAAGTTGGGGAAAAAAACGAATTTCTCTCTGTGCTGTTGTTCATCTGCCTCTTCTTAACACCGCCCTTCTCTGGTACTATTAGTATATACCAATATGTCTCCTCTGACACACGTTTTGGTCCAATATCAACATTATGTGTACATATTATTTTTGCAAACACAAATTATTTGTAATAAATGGAAAAAATTGTAGTCCTTTCTTTTGGGGGGAAATATATGTCAAAAGTGATGCAAATTAAGGGGGAAATGACAGATATATATGGTAAGGCAAGGCAGGTTTATTTGTATAGCAAAATTCAGTACAAGGACAAATCAAAGTACTTTAAATTAATGAAACAATAACATAAAAGAAAAATTAAAGCAGAGTAAAAGCAAATGAAGATAAAAGCAGAAAGTAAAAACAAACAAATACAGTTAGATAAAATCCTTATAATACCTCAGTTACCAGTTTAACTTCAACAGTCAAAGGCAGTTCTAAACAAAGTTTATAAGTTTGAATTGAAATAACTTTTAGAGTCTTCTGGAAGTTTGTTCCAGACAAGTGGAGCCTAAGAACTAAATGGTGCTTCTCCATGTTTGGTTGTAGTTCTGGGTGAACAGTGTAGGTGTGAACTAGAAGACCTGAGGGTTAGGGTTAGGGTTAGTGGTCTGGGAGGTTGATACACTGACAATGAATCTGTTATGCACTGAGGTACTGATCCATTCAGTGATTTATGAACTAGCAGGAGGGTTTTAAAGTCTATTCTATGAGATACACGGAGCTCAGTGTAAGGACTTTAGAACCATGCTTTTTAGTTCTACTTAGAAAACTGCACAAGTGTCAAGTAACGAAGTACAAATACTTCTTTACTGTACTTAAGTACACCTTTTAGGTATATATACTTTACTCCATGACTTATTTTTCCTCCTACTTTTGACTTCTACTCATTACATTTTCACACAAGTATATTACTTTGTATTCCTTAAATTTTTTAAACAAACGTTACTCGTTACTTTTGGCTTCGGTTTAATGCAGAGGTCATGTCACGGATTAGCGGACTGCGATGTTATGGACAACATTAAATTCAAAGATTTTGTCCGAGGTAAAGCTGATTTATTTGTTGTAGTCTCTTGTTATTCACACACAACAATAAACAGTGATTAGCCGACGTGGGTTTTAAAACTGCAAAGCTTTGTCTTCAGCTGAAAATCAAACGCGCATCTACACAGACCAGTGTGATGCATTCGAGAGCCTCAGACAGCTATGGTGCATTCAGGAGCATGGGACATTTCACACTTACAAGGAAAGAGACAAAAACGGAACAGAACTCATACAATAATGTATTTATTCAGAAACAGTGTGGGCTTTCTTATAATACTGAATGCTCTATAATTGTGTTTCTGTTATTTTTTGATTATGCACATCTACTAGCTTTTTATTCTAAAAAAATCTATAATATTACAGCAGCAAATTATCAAAGTTTTTCAAAAGCCTGTTTAAAAGCTCCAAATGAGGCTTCGGATCCTCGACAATTGCGCTGTCATTGTTTTACAGGGCAGAATTTGCATTTGCTGAATCTTGTCTTTTACCTAGTGATGGATATACAGGAATACAGTCATACAAGTGTAAACTCCTCTCAGATAGAACAGGATGCAATATTTGGCAATCTCTATTTTTATTTTTTCATCTTTTTTTTAAATTCAATATAACATGAATGCATAAATACGTCATTTTATTTCAGTGTTAAATTCTGTTTAAAGTAACAGATCATTAAAAATGTCTCCTGACATTTACTGGTTGATTTTCTTTATTCGGACCCCACTGATTTTAAATATATATTTCACGTCATGTGCGCCATCCAATGCAGATCATTGGTGCCATCCACATCTAGTGAAAACTAGTGTAATTGGATGAGTCGTATAACGCAAACACTCATTGGTTAGTTAAAGGAAATCATCAGAAGCAAGCAGGTGTTCTTTAAACTGCAAACGTGAATTGTCTATGCCATGCTACAATGTTGGATTCAGAAAAACATGTCTAAATGTCTGAAAGGTCGGACACAGGTGAGAGCGTATCGGGAGATGGAGACGGAGACCAACAAGACCTCCCTCATCCTTGGCCCTATCTCAAAGAATTTTTTTGAAATAGTCGAAAAATTACTTTACTTTATACTTTTATACTTTAAGTAGTTTTTGGAGCACATACTTTTTCACTTTTACTTGAGTATAGAGGTTAAGTTGAAGTTGGTTAAGTTCAACTTTTAACTGAGTGTTTTTAAACTGTAGTAGGGCCTATCTATACTTCTACTTAAGTAACAAATGTGTGTACTTTTGACACCACTGGAAAACTGGCAGCACTTTTGCATCATCTGCAGCTGTCTGATGGACTTTTTAGGCAAACCTATGAAGACACTGTTGCTGTAATCAATTCCATTAAAGATAAATGCATGACTGAGTTTCTCCAGATCCTGCTTGGGCATTAGTCATTTAATCCTGGAAATGTTCTTCAGCTGATAAAAGACTGACTTAGTAACTGCCTTCATGTACCTCTGAATGCTCAGGTCTGAGTCCATCGTGACATCAAGATTTCAACCATAATCAGTGGTTTCTTGCTGTAATAGCTGAAGCCGTGAGCCAAATCTGGATCTCTTCTTGTTTGGTCAGAAGATTGTTAGGCTACCTCAGTTTTGTTTTAATTCAGCTGTAGAAATTGTTCACTCATCCACATATGGATCTGTTCTAAGCATCTAACCAATGCTCTAATAGATTCATAGTCACCTGGTGACATTGTGATGTAAAGTTGTGTGTCGTCTTCACAGTTATGGTAACTGATCTTGTTGTTTGCTATATTCTCAGCTAGGGGGAGCATGTAGATATTGAATAGGAGGAAATCCCAGACCGGAGCTTTGAGGAACTCTGCATATGAGTTTAAAGTTCCCTGCTGACACATAGAAGTCCCTATCCTCCAAGTAGGATTTAAACCATTCCAGTGTGTAAACAGAAAGGCCGACCAAGTTTTCCAGACGCTCTAATAAAATCAAGTGATCAACAGTGTAAAACGCTGCACTGAGGTCTATTAACAGCAGCACTGTGGTTCTTCTAGAGTCGGAATCTCTACGGATGTTATTGAACACCTTATTTAGGGCAGTCTCTGTACTTTGGTTGGCATGGAAACCTAACTGGAAGACATCAAATCAGCAGGTCATTGTTAAGAAATGTATTTAAATGCTGAAACACAACTTTTTAAATAATTTTACTGATTGAAGGGAGGTTTTGAGATGGGTCTGTAGTTCTTTGGGATTCATTTTTTTCCAAACTTCTCTTTTTCAACACTGGTTTGATAACTACTGTTTCTAAGGCCTGGGGGAAAGCACCTTACATAAGGGATTTGTTTATGATTTTAATAAAATCAGACTCTAAAAGAGGTAAAACATTCTCAATAAAACACATAGGTAAGACATGAAGACAACAGGAAGAGGAGCTTAGCTGCTGAACAATTTCTTCTAGAATTTAAAATCTAAAAATGAAGTTTATTTGGTAGACTTGGAGCATTTTAACCAAGTTTATTCTAACTGGTGACAGCACTGGTACTGGAGTTGACATTGATGTACGGACTGCTATTTTAATACCTTTTATTTTCTCAGTAAATAACTTTGCAAAGTGATTTCAGGCATTTTTAGATAGCCGATAGAAGAGTTAAGCTGTTGACGGTGACAAATAAGGTGCGAGCATTGTTGCTGTTTTTGTTGATAATCTCAGAGAATAAAGATTATCTTGCATCTTTTAGTTGTAAATTATATCTGTGAAACTTATCTTTATAGATTTCATAGTGAGGTAATACAACAAGAAATATTGTTCCACAGAAAGAAAGAGGAATTAAAAAGCCTCTTTGAATGCAGCGATTATAAAGGTTTTCATTTCAGACTGATGGAGTAGAAAACAGAAGAAAAACAAGTAAACAAAAAAATCTGTTAAGAAAAGAAAAAAAACAACCCAACTTGTTTTATTGTTGTGTAAGAGTTTTTTTTTTCCAGCTTATTAAGAGATAGTTAAACAAAAAATGAAATAAAAATAGGGAATATAGCTCAGGGAAGAACTAATGTATTAACAGAATAGCAAAGCTTCATTATGTTGCTGTAAGGAAACATTATTCAGACAGTCAGACCATTCCTATTTGACAGCTAAAAATATTAACCTATATAAGAGTTTTTTTTTTATTGCTACTGTTAATTTGACAATGGGGTAAAAGGCAGTTTTACCACTATTAATTAATATTAATCCACTGTAGCTTTCCTTTACCTTAAATCTTTACTTGGCAATAATGGTTTACAATTAAGAAACACTTTTAAATCCAGTTGGTAATTGGGATCTCCCATCCTCCCAGTGATCCATGAACGTATCATACAGCAGGGATTAAAGCCGGGCTGTTCCTCAGCTGTTTGCTCCTGACGTTCAGATTCCCTAATATTTTTTCTTTTTGTTTAACCTTCTGCTTGCATTGTTCAATCTGAGCTCTCTTTGTTGTTAAACAGATGTCTGCTACTCTCAGTCTGCGTCTGTTGCACTGCTACTCGAAACAAGGTACCAAATATATGTTCTAAACTAGAGTAATAACATGTATTTGTGGGAATGACGCAGGCTCACTGCATGTTTATGAATCTTCAGGAACATTTGGATCTGGTTCTGGGGTCATGCGCACATTCAGTGTTAGTGTGCCCAGAGAAGGCTACAGTAAGTACTTGACTAAATATAGTCCAGTGCCAAAGTATGTACATCCCTTTAATTTCTTACAATTTGTAAAGATACAAACTACAATCTTTTGTGTATTTTAGTGGGATTTTAAACTATTCATCGACATATAGTAGTGAATTGTTTTTTGTCTGACAGAAAAGGATTGCTTTGAATGTGTAGCCTCTGTTTAGATTTTCTTGATTCCTTCAAGCAGCAGTTTCGGATTATTTTTTTTCAGGCAGGCCTTTAACTGGATTAGGACTGTTTGCAGTTTTCGTCTTTTACTCTTGTGTTTTGTTTTGTTTTTTTCTATCCAT